ATTTGGGAAATAAATTTCTGATCAAGTGGGTAGAATGAAGACATGGAAAGTCATGATCAGGAAAGTGAAAGTAAGATACAAATGTTGAGAAATAGAAGAAGACAAGTCATGAGACAATTTAACATATGGATAGCTGCAAAGCCTGTTTTGGGGGGGGAACACTGTGGAGCCGTGTTTCCTCTTTTAATTTTGGAATTGCAATGAATGGTGATATGTAAAAAAGTAAAAGGGGCATTTCCATCAGCTCAAGCCGAACCACTTTAGACCAAATTATTTGGTTCATGACATCCTCTTTCATCTTCTTAATTACTGTAAATAACATCTACTTTTCTTTTTTTTTTCCTTTTTCCCTTTATTTTTCATTTCTTTGTTGTGCGCTTGTCCTCCATGTCTTTTTGTTTCTCTTAATTTAGTATTTGATGTATGAAAAAGTTATTAGATGCTTTAAGAGCACTGAGTTTTAATTTAGTATTGACATACGAAAGATTATTAGATGCTTAAAGATAATGAGTTTTTATAAACGTTTACAATGCATAATCTAAACTTGGAACACTTAAGTTCATCCACTACTAGATTAAAGCTTGATTAGTTGTTAATATCATGAATTAAACCTTTTCTTTAATTCTGGTTTTGAACCTGAATGACCAAATGAAGGCCCCAAAAGGATGACATGATAATCCTCTTATCATTTAAAGGAACCAAAACGATGTTCAACATCATTTTTGGGGATTTAGTTTGCGATATCATTTAGCATGAAACCACGCAGACTTTAGACAGTGAGGATAATAACACTGAAATTTCAAAGAAGATGATCAACAACACAACAGGGGGAAGAAAAAAAAAAGTACTTTAAAAAAAAAAACAAGAAAAAAAAGGGTGGAGCAGAATGTTACCATGATAATACCCTCGTTCAAGACTAACTGCAGAATTGAACTGAATGGTAGAATCAAATTGAACCCAAAAAAAAAAGGCTAAAAGATCACAAATCACAAACAATAGCAATGCTATGTTGGATGCATTTCAAGTTAGTGGACAGGTCCCAAGCTTAACACAAGTCATATGGCCAGTAGATACTGACATACCCTCTCATACATGTGGATTATAACAACATTCACTCTCAGAGTAGGCTCCAACAAAACAACAGAGTGAATGTTTATATTTATAAGGATATGGTTATACATACCATGATTACTGCAACTTTCGCAACATTGGATTCTCGTCTGTATCTGCAAATGCTCCTGCTTAGCACTAAACTTTATGGGATTGACAAAGTTGGGCTCAAATAGACCCTTGGCTCAAAGGGTAAACCATAAATGACATATAACAGACTCAAACCCATTCCCTTTGCTGGTACATCTCCCCACTTCAGGATTCAATTCCTTCTTTTACCAAACGAGATAATAGTGTGGTTTTTTTTGTATTTATTAGGATTCTGATGCTTAAAGCAGTATCGTTCAAACTCTGAAAGAACAAAGCTCTTAAATCTCATCTCATATCAAGTCCCAGCCAAAAATTTTTACCAGCATACACCACCCAGTATTGGGTTTACCAAACATAGCAACTTGGGCAAGTCCCAAAAGATTTAGAGGCAGACAAGGGGAAGGATCACTTTTGGATTTTACAGCCAAGCAGTTCAGCAGACTGCTGAATCGGTGTGAAATTTTATATTATCACAGCCCATACTCATGGAAGAGATATTTATGAACAGTCAAAACTAAATGATCTAATAAATGAAAATGCCGTAGATTTTCAATTTAAATTAGGACATATATCTAATTTCTGTAATTGAATTGAAAAACATAAACTCAAAAACAGAAAAAGTAAAATTAGATATGTGGTTATAAAAATTTGAGCAGTCTGCATATAGAATTCAGACCCAATTTTTTGTCGGAATTAGTTTAATGAAAGACAGAAATTAACGAAGAACTTATTAGACCTTGAAAATCCTATATTTACAAGAGAATGAGCGAAAACATTCACCGGACAATTTACAAGAAGGGATTTCAGAGAAATCCCCAGATCAAGATTCTCAGAGGTAAACTCTTACAATTTATCCAACATTAGGTTTGAGCTACCAATTACAACTAGGAACTCTTTGTACTAGATAGTGACCAAAATTCCTCCAGTGCCCACTCCACTTTGAACCTCAACTTCTAGAGAAGATGTAGCAGCCCCGGAAATTTAAAATTGAATTTATATTATAAATAACAAATGCGGAAGCGAAGTCAAAATTTAAATAACATCCCTTACACGAAAATCAAAAACGTGCTCACAAAATATAAAAGATTAAACTACCTAAAGGGGAAACTTGAAAGTAAAAACTACGAATGTGACTATGGAGTCCTTAGGTGTCCCATTCGTCGTCCTCCTGCGGGACCGGCTCGGGAACGATGTCCTCTTGATCTAAAATGATTAAATAAGGAATGAGCTACACTATCCCAGTAAAGACATCACGATATCTCACCGTCACGGAGGTAAAGGTGGGTAGAAAAACACAAAATACCAATGGAGCATGATTTACGACAAATCCTTTTATTAATAATAAAACCTTTACCATCCACTTACCTCGGTGGAATTTATAAAACAATATACGAAAGCAATAACATCATTATCATCATGGAAACATATATATGAACTGTATAACATAATACCTATCACACTTTTCGTAATTCAATCGTTACACAACATATTTTCTTAATTCACCAGCCCACTAGTATCCATGGGGATCCATAGGGGTCCCGCTACCCGTAAATCCGTAATACTTGAAATCAAATTCCAGGGCCGTCCCTATACCCCGTCCGGTATGGGCACCAAACCATAGACCTCATTACCCCGTCCGATATGAGGGTGAAACGGGTCGTCCCCATACCCCGTCCGGTATGGGCGCCAAAACACATAAGATCTCTATACCCCGTCCGGTATGGGAGACCACAATCTCGGTAGGGTCCCCTACGGACCCGGTCCGTCCACCATCTCCCAGGATATCTAGTCAGGCTGATCACATTATACCATTATCCATTTACATAATTGTTCGTTCTCTTTTTCCTCAATCAGCATCATTAATCCACATACAAGCAAGCAAAACAATAATTTATGCTAAGCAGACAACATACAGCATCAATATTCCGGTCATTTAATCCATAATCAATAAAACAGTAAAACATGCACACGAAACTATAAAATGAAAACATCGAACCTCATGCTACGTTTAAAACTGTAAAACATGCCAAATAACAATTAACCGACAAACACACTAGACTCGGGCTCCATTAGCGACCCTAAGCAATTTCACACATTCGTTGATTCATGAAATATCGTTTTATCATTTATTGAACTTTAAAACCGTGATAGGAAATAAGGTGAGGGGTCCTTACTCGTTTCGGGGTCCGAACACGGCTTCACAGTGCGCTTGCAGGCTGTCCCTAATTTTCCCTGAATTTTCCTCGGGGAACTGAAACGCACTACTGGTACCTGCACGTGTTCCAAAAAAATCCCAAATTAGGCCCATGGCCCCTTTCGGCCCAAATCGCAACTCCGACACGGCGGCTCCGCCGTGCTCCGGCGACGGCGCCGCCGCTGGCGGCGGCGATTCACCTCGGGTTGGCTGTTTTCGGCCGTTTCCGGCCGAATTCGGCCACACTCGCATCGGTCCCTGCAAGAAAACAACCCTAGGGCCCTCGGGGGGCCAAAAAATCACGGAGAAACGGAGCTTACCGGCGGCGGCGCTCTCGGGTGCGGCGGCTCTCCGGCGAGGTTCGTGTTTTGGTGATTCGACTCCGGTCAACCTGTAGAGAAAAGAGTGGTGATCACGGTGATATAAAAATTACATCAAACGGAGGCCGGGAAGGGCCTCATCGGAGGCAAAAACCGAGAAGGGCGCGGCGGCGCCGCTGGGCTTCGGCCGGAAAAACGAGTCGGGGTACGAAATTTACCTCGATCGGCGGTCGGAAGTTCCTCCGGTGCGGCGGCGGGTGGCGGCGGCCGGCTTCTGGTTCGTCTTCTCCGACAATGACAGGCGGCTAGGGTTTGTGGTCTGGGTGTGGGGGTTCTATTTATAACCCCTTGCCTTTTGATCTCAGCCGTCCATTTTGTTTTAATCTGGGCCGTCCGTTTTTTATTAAATATGGGTCGTCCGTGCGTTTAAATCTGGGCCGTCCGATCGCACGTTTGATCTGGGCCGTCCGATCGTGCCCACGCGGATCGCCAACGTGGCCCTTTTTGAAACGACGTGGTTTTGCCACGTGGCAGGTCCCGGTTGGCCGGGACTGCTGACCGGGCCTGCTGACGTGGCTGCCGACGTGATTTTTTTTTTTTTTTTTTCCCTCCTCGGTCCGGGCGCTACAGAAGATGGCAACGAGATCAGTAGACTTGCAGCTGAACCGTCACTGACTTCAATAATCAAGGCCAGATGTTCTTTGTTATTTTTTTGAGAGAATGATGGCCAGAAATCTAATACATGTGTTTCATGAAATGCTTAAGCTTTTAGCTATTATAAAGAAGATAATAGACAATTAAATTAATAGATAAAGCAAGCAAATATAAACAAAATGAAGATGAAACAAAACAGTAGAGATCATACCATAATATCAAATAACTAGAAGTCAAAAGTGCACAATTTTGCAAGAAAAAATTTTACCAACCAAGCTTCTTCAATCAACAAGCATGAGACCCAACTACTACAGTTAATATCCTTCAGAGGCATAAGCAAAATCCTTTTCCAGTTCCTCCACCCCACTACTACAGTCAATATCCTACAGACACAAATAAAATCCCATTCCATTCCCTCCACTCTAAAAAAATGAAGACTCCCCAAGATTGTAACTATTGCACTTTGTTGATGCTACTCAAAATGTAGTGATCCACATATGAATGAACCGCTGTAATGCAATAACTGGATGATAAAAATATAAAAACATCAGATGCATATTAAAAGAAAAAGTAAAAGGCAGAGTACCTTCAAATTTTATTTGCAAATGGACAAAGTTCAACTTAATTGGCAATAAATTGAAATGAGAAGCATAAAAAATTCTCATGCCAAAATGTTTTAACAAAGTACATGAAACTGATCAACTATAATATATATCCACTCTGACCTAGACAGAGACTGCAGTTGCAGGGGTAGCTTCCCCACATTTCATCGAATAAAAGAGATCCAAAACATCTGCATGATTGCGGATATAACCTGGGCATTTAGACAATAAATCATGCGCTTCATTATGCCTTGATTTCTTAAGAAAAGCTTCAATTACACGGAGAACCACAGAAGTGGACGGAAACTTCTTTGACGTCATTCCTTTCAGAAACATGACAGCTTCATCACTATTTCCAGACCTTGATAAATAGTCTATGAATGGATCTATAAATGGCGGAAAGCCATGATCTTTCATCAAATGAAAAAGATTCAGAGCATTATTAAATCCACCTTTCTTGGACAACTTCTTTGACAATAACTTCCTTATCAATATTTTGTATGTACTGTGCCAGGGTTTTAACTGATTATTGGTGACATAATCATGCAGAAGCTTGTATGCATCTATTGCTCTGTTCCTATTGCAATAAGCTATTACCAACTTTTCAAAAGCATGGGCAGCATAAGAGGCGCCTCCTTTCCCAACCATCTTCTGGAAACTATCTGAAGCTTTTTCAAGATCTCCAGCTAAACAATGCCCTTCAACAAAAGACGCCCACACCTTGTCATCTATGTCATTCTCAGATGCTTCCATATATTGCTCAAATTCTTGTGCTTCATCTTTCTTTCCAGCATAACTGAGCCCAAATGCAACCTTGCTTTGCACATTACTACCAGCTGCAAACCCACCTTCCTCCATTGCCTTCAAAATCTGATTACTTTCACCAACCCTACCAACACTTCTTAAAGACTTTAGAACTGCTTTCAGCATGGACTCAGTCAACAGATTACCATTTCCAGTAAAGGCTTTCACGACCCTTGAAAAGAGACTCATATCTAACTGCTTACTGACCACAATTTTTCTCAGTAAAAATGTACAAGAATGCACTGATGGCCTATCACTACTAGCCATTGCAAACTCATATAATTCCACAGCTTCCTTAATCATTTTCCTGTAACAGAACCTTCCGGTGACCTTAACATAAGTCTCCAATTCTATTTCATAACCACCATTTCTTATTTCATGAACAATTTTCCAAAAGCTGTCAAGACAATCTTCTCTCCCCAAAATCCTTGCCATCACATTATAAGTCTGCTCATTGTGCTTAAAGAAACTACTCTCCTCAATCCATCTAAAAAGTTGAAAAGATTTTTCTGGTTCCATTGCAAGATTTTCCAAAACCATCCTCACCAAATCACTTGAAAACGTAATATTCAAATCCCCTAACTTCCGTTCAACATCTTCGCTCCATTCCTCATTTCTCACAATCTTACACAGCCTAGAACAAACCTTCTCCACCGAACTACCGATGGAACCTGATGCAAACACACCTCTTAACCTCTCTAAATCACTCTTCAAACCATCTTTCTCAAATTTCTCTGAGACTTTGTCACGCACATGCCCTGACACACCGTACCCCTTCTTCTTCATGGCATCAACTAAAGACCAGAACTCCTCAACAAAACCATTGACACCCAAAATACCCAGCATCAAATTGTAAGATTTCGAGCTCAGCCTTTCATCGTCGCTCTCCAAAACCCAATCAAAAAATCTGCGAGCAACATCAGGATTCGATTCAAGCCCTTTCAACACTTTCAATCCCAGTTCATGGGTAATCACAATGCTGTTGGACTCTATTTCTTTCCCAATTTCATTTTTATCACTCAATCTACTGAAAATGCCAGTTACTCGCACATGATCCGAGTCCTCCTCAATTTCCGGTTCAGACGAGAAATTTCGAATCATGTGTTTGTCATATTTTCCTAGGTTTAGAAGGTTAGTAGGATTTGTTGGACAGGTATTGAAAATGGTGTGTTGTTGCTGTTGTGAAAAGTGCAGAGAGTGCGTGTAGAGAAAAGATGAAAGAGAGCGAAGATAGTTGGAATCTACCTGAGATGACCGAGATGGGGGATAGCGAAGGTAGTTTCTGAAGAGAAGCAATCGCCATTGAGGTCGCATTTTGATTAACCTGTCTCCGTAGCTTAGGGTTTTAGAAAGGGGAGATATAAACCTTGTCTACTGAAACCAGAGTGTTTAGGGTTGGAAGAGACCTTCACCTTCACCAACACACGTGACGATTTAGAATTTTCCCTTCAATTTTAGTTTTATATTTTTCATTATTAAGACGTGATTTACGAATTATTTAATTAATAAAATTTTAATTTTTGAACAAAAAAAAATTAATGACGACATTAATAAAATACAACGTATGTCATTTGTTATTATTTGTATTATTTAGTATGTGCCATTTTTAATTTCAATAAAATTGTTTTAATAATTTTAAGCAAGATTTTGTAGTTAATAAAATTTGCAACATGTGTTTTTCTTATTATAATAAAATTTTAATTAAATAGTTTCAAGTACTTCAAAATTTTAATCAAATAATTTTTAAATCAACAGTTATAATATTAATCTTTAATAGTAGATTTAATTTCAATAAATTTTTTAGTTAGATAAATATAAACATAATTTTTAATTAAATATGTATTATTTTAATAATATTTTTAACTTGTTATCGCGACAAAATAAGTTCTAGCGACAAGAATTAATATTTCTCTATTAAATTTTGACATGAGTAATTCCTCAAGCATATGTAATGCATGCTTTGTTATTAATTTTTTAATTACTTAAAATTAGATGAACTTATCGATTAAAATGTTAAAAAGAAAAAATAATTAATGAAAAAAGAATAAATATATTGTAACGAAGTAATTTATTAAATAATTTAATAAATGTAATTCTGCTATATGCAAATATTTTATTGTTATTATTCTTTTTGCCCTTTTTAAATATTTTTTTTTTGTGTTTCTATATACTTTCTTTATGTAGACTCAACATTATTTAGATTTTAAAATATATATATATATATATAGAGAGAAAAAAAATTGGATATTAAGTGAATTATTTTTTAGGAGTGACATCCCCACTAGTCCACCAATTAACATGACCCATCTTGGGTCCATTGCAAGATTACACAGTGTATGTATATATATATGTATATGTATATGTATATGTGAAAAGCAAATGAAGAATTGAATGGAGGAAGAGAAGTAATTAAAAAGATAATTTTATTAGTGAAAGAAATTGTTGAAGAGAGAGAGAGAGAGAGAACTACTTCATTATAAGAGAGCCGTCTTCTCTAGTTCAAACCAGAAATTACATTTAAAAAACAAATAAATTATTTAATTGTGAGATGCTCATTAAACTAATTAATAAACTCCAAGAAAAAGGAAATTAATTTAATTTTTGTTCATCCCAGTTGCATCCTTTACAGCATCACAAGCTCCCTGTGCTTTGGCCTTCATCTGCTGACCAGCCTGCAACACAACCACCCAAAATATATATATATATATATATATATATTAACCCTTTAATTAATAATTAAAACCACCAATTACCCATTAATTAATTTATTTTGTTCATTGATTTTAAGTAATTAATTTAGAAAAAAAAAAAAAAAAATGGGTACCCCTTGAACAGATTCCTTGGCAGACTGAGCAGCATTTCCAGCCCTCTCCATCACGTTGCTTGCCTTTTCCTGTGTAAATAAACACTCATTTAATTGAAATCGTGCTTTTTCCACTAATACTATTTTCAGTATATATATATGTAATGTATAGATATGAATGTAGAGGAGGAGAGACCTGGGTTCTGCCCTTGGCTTCTCCAGCCTGAAAGCTCATCTTCTGGGAGGAGTTATCTGCCATTGTGTTTTGAAATTAGAGAAAAGATTTGAACGAGTAGTTTTTCTTTGGATTGATGATTTTGAGTCTCTACGTCGCAGTAATTTATAGATACTGGTTGCTTCTCAGTTGTTTGCCACCTGGATTATTTTCAGCCTTTTGACCAGCTCAAACCGATCTTCCTGGTTTTCTGCCTTCAAATTCTTAAAATAAGACACTCAATATTTTTATTACACTGATTTTATTTATTTATCTATAATTTCAATTTACGTTCACTAATATTGTAATTAAGCTAAACCTAACCTAAATACTTAAGCAAGCTTTTAACTTTTTTTTTTTTTTCTTTTTTTTTTTTTCAAAATACAATCTTGGTTTTAGAGAATTTCCATTTGGTAATATAATTATTACCAAATGGAAACATAAAAAAATTTCTTGAATACAATATAATTATTTAATTATATTTTTTCCCATATTTTTAACTTGTATTCCCAATATGAATGGTTGTTTTTACCAAACAAAATAATTTCTAATGACAACAAATTTTAAAATCATAGCAATTATATAAGCATAAGGATTGAAACTGTAGTTTATACAATGATTTACCAATATTCCATAATATGCAGCAACTTTCTATAATAATCTGGCTAATATCATATTAATTATTTTAAAATTAAGAAACCACTGTGTCTCTCAATCACCATAACATCGGTACCACTCTCCAGACCATCAACTTCATAGTTAATGCTGCACTCCCAATATACTTGTCCTTGTTTTAAAAGAGAAGGAAGAATTGGGTTGACGCATAAATTCCAAACTATTCAAAGAATTCTACCTCTCAGCCCCAAATAAATGAACAACTAATCACAGAAATATGAGAATTCATAGACTTTCTGCTCCAAACTGGAAAAGAATGAAGGACCAAGTTGATTTCACATCAAATATAAAGCTCAGTACTTTTTCTGTCACAATAGACACATTTCAAAACACTTTTTTTGGAAAGAGATACGGAGATACACCACTTAAGGCAAAGCGTGTGAGAAGCTCGGCACTTAAACATATATGTATTTTGCACAGGCTATTATCATATTAATCCAAGTACCAAATACTTGTAGTTTACAGTAATGTCATTAATGAGTCCAGGGAACAAAAAAGAGGGCGGCGCGTTTAGCTGATAATATAAAGAAAAAAGAGCAGTTGCAAAGACAATAAAGATTAACTATGTGGAGATCATGGTTTTATCATCTCAAAATTTCGATCTTTGGGTCACTAGATTAATTGGTAGGAATCATTTGAATCAAAAGAATCATCTTCATGTATACAAAACCCAATCTGATAGAATACAGTTCAAGCTTGAGAAAGAACAGCAATAAAAAGAAAAAAAACATAGCTGAGCTTTGCTCTGAGAATTACAATCAATGATTTTTAAACTAAAAAACCTGCAGAAATTGAGTAACCATGACTATAGACAATCCCTGAAAAACTTGTCTTAGTTAACCTGACTGATAACATAGAAGAAATTGTGCTAATCTAGAGGCCAAAATTGCACATCTGCACAAACTCCATATCATTGTCCAAGTATTTAGTCCAAAGACTCTTATATTGGTTCATAGCAATGTCCAGCCAAGGTTTCATGTTTCCATTGTAATGAATAACTGCCGCATTCCCTATCTCATCCATGCTAACACTTGGATTGTACCCAAGTCCAAGTACATGCCACGATTTGTCCAATGACTTGGTCGTTGAATAAAAGGTGATCAAACCAGGGGGAAGAGTACCCAATTTCCACAGAGTTAGATCTTCATTCTGTTTAGAATATCCAAAGAAAAGCTAATCAGTTTACATCGATGCTCAATTTACTTAACCTCACCCAGCAAAACTACATGTCAGCAAAACTACATGTCATTCTAGTTAGCACTTCGGACGCAAGTTTTGAGGTTTGCCCAAGTAAAAGGTACATTGGCAAATTGGCCGTATTCTCAAAGGTGGATTCCTCACGTCTGTGCATTTAGTTTAGTTACTACCTTTCCATATTCCCTAATTGTGCAACTGAAAATTAGAGACACGATATAAGATAAAAGTAAGTACATGAGAAAAATGCTAACAATCGTTCACATAAATAAATCCCCTTTGTTTGCAGTTAAACAAAAAGTTGTCAAGTTACAGAGAAAAGACTCTGGTTCTGTGATTTTTTTCTAATCAACTCATCCCAACAACCTCAATTTTTAAACCACTGTCTTGGTAAAGCTAACATGTCTCACTTAGTTTGCGTTTTGGAAGTAAATTTATCGAGGGTTCAAGCAAAAACTAAATGACCCAGAGTTCAGAACATTTGTAAATTTACTTTAGCTACCATTTCAAGATGCTATTTGTATAATATTTCCCTAGTTGTGCAACTAAAATCAGAGAACACCAGAACATAAAAACACATAAAAAATACTCAAACAATCATCAGACAAGAACAAACAAGTGCCAAGTCAAGGCAGAGAAACACATACCAGATTCTGCCAGTAGTGATACTGATCTGTGCATTTCTCACGCCTCCAAGCATCAAGATCGAATATATTCATCCCAAATGCCCAAGCACAAGCCTTGGGGTTAAATCTTTCTCTTATAAGAGGATGTGAGAAGTTTAAATACTGTGAGTATCTATGAAAGGAACCAAAGCATGTCTCTACAGCTCCATTCACCTTCCCATCCAAATCAACCTTCCACAATCCAGTCAAGTCCTTTTGCACCACAACATCATCATCCAAGAACAGTATCTTATGCAACTTTGGGTGCATCTCCGGCAAGTAGAACCGGAGGTGATTCAACATGGACACATACTTTGGGTCCTTAAACTTGATGTTACTGTTATGGGCATCTTTAGTGTCATTCTCGGCAAAAAATCTCTGCAAATTTGCAGACTCCAGCTGCCTCAGTACGGGAACGTACGATGAGTTCAAGAATCCGAAATCCTCCACGGCCTTCACCTCCACGTGGGCACCTCCTTCAACGGGACGCATCTTGAACCAGACTTTCATGGCCGCCAGGTTCATCCTATCGGTCACAACGTGAAACACATGCTTCCATTTCTCATCTGCATTATTCACCACCGACCTCACCACCACAGACACCGCGATCACGTTGTCGGAAAATATTGCGTAATGGTACAGACTCGGGTCTTCAAACTCGGGTCGGGGCGGGTCGTCCATATAGTTTTCGGGATGCGAAATCCGCTCCTCGACGAGCCTCATGGCCAAGCAATGCAGGCTCTTGGGGATCGATTTGGCGGAGATCAAGCTGGCCACGGCACCATTCTTCTTGGGCCTTTACCAAGAGCTCGTTAACGGAGAAGATAGTGTCCTTGAGCTTCTGTATCTTGAGCTGGTTG